GTATCAGGTCTTCGTGCCTCGAATATTTTTGAAACCACACTGTAATCTACACGATGTAAGCTGCATTTAGAATTCTGAATCATATGAAAGGTAAAGGTCCATACTTTACTCTCCTGTAGTAAATTTCCCAAGAAGCATATTCAAGCTCAAAGACCAAAAAGAAAAAAAGCGTCCGGAATTACCCCACTCTCCCTTACCGATAATTTGCATTTTTAGTAAAACATGTGTTTTTGGCGTCCATATCCTAACGTGTGACCGGATCCCGGGGTACCGCGTGCGCTGTAAACGGGGAAGGGGTCCTTAGAGAAGATGATTCGGGGTAGGGTTGGGGGCGGTGACGTCAGGATGGCCGTATCAAACCCTGAAGGCAATTTTTGCATTTTGTAAAAAACGGAAAAAAAATGTAATTTTGTAATTTTCTCCCATCAGTCCTCTACTGCTCGTAGAGGGTCCCGGTGGTCTTAAACTGATAAAGCATGATCAGACTTTTCCATTTCCGTCTCGGAAACATCATTTGGACATCAGGTTCAGTTTCTATGGCTGTTTTTAGAAAAACCCGTAGAAGTCAAATTTTCGAATTTTCAACGTCGATGCGCGAGGGTCAAGCTTTTAGTTACAGACCTGGCCCAGATCGCGTTGAGTTTGTATTGCCATGAAGTAACTTTGGAGCGCTATTACGTTTGCGATATCGAAAAAAAGTGTTTTACGGCCCACCCTACTGCTGACAGTGTCTGTTGGCGGCACTGCATACACCGGCCGAGTTCTAGAGTCGCTCTGGAGTCATCGGGTTTTGACCGCCCACCCAATCCGGAACACTACAAGCAGCTTTCTTACATCGCCAACGGGGCATCTTATCGGTATGCCAGGGAAAGCCTTATGGATTAAGTCTTTGAACGGCGGGGCGTATTTTCTAATAGCTTGACAGGTCTCTCCAATCCTCAGCACAAGAAAGTTGTCCTTCCAGCCAGATACGGGATCCCATCTTCCAATGTAGCTTGTCAGCTGTAAACAAATGCAATAATGAAGACTGCGGAGTAATTTTACACTGTAAAAATTATGTTGTGAATTTACGACGGAATATTTTCCGAAGGTTTTTGGGTATGTCCATAAGTGCACTGTAAATGTTTCTTTCCTACAGGAACTATCGTAGATCAACGGAAGTTCGTCGTTAGTTTACGAAGGTTCTAAGTACATTTACGAAGAAACATCGTAAATGTACAAAGTGTGTTGAAAATTTACGAAGGGCTAAGTAAATTTACGACGGACCTTCGTGAATAAACAAAGGAACTGTTGGCAATTTTTTTGCCGAAGGATCCGTTGTTAATTTCAGACGTATGATTACGAAGGTTCTCTGTATATTAACGAAGGTTCCCCTGTCAATTTACGAAGGATCTTTGTAGATTTACGAAGACGCCTCGTAAATTTCCATCGTAATTGTGAAATCGACAGAGATCGTTTTAAAAGTTAACGAAGGTTTTTGTAAATATGCGAAGAGCTTTGTAAATTAACGAAGGAACAGTTGGCATTTTTTTTTTGCCGAAGGATCCGTCGTTTATTCCGGACATAAATTTTTGCGGTGTAAATTAGGTCCGATGCGAAGGCCGAGACCCACCGTCGTCAGACCAAGCTGGACTTGCCCCCTGTCGGTTTGACGGAAGGACCCTACACTGGTAAAACAAAAGCGTGGTATTACCCTCTGTTTTCAAGCGCAATCAGGTTACGCTTGAAATCAAGCTTAACAGGCTCAACCGCCATGATTCCCTCTATATGCTTTGGGGAATTTCCAGAGTAAGATTCATTTCAAGCGTAACTTTATGCTTCACTCAAGCATAGAGTTACGCTTTAGTTTTCCAGTGTAGCTTGTCTTTATTGCTAAGCGATGGTTCCTCAACTTTTTACTGTGCTTTTTTACTTTTTACTTTGCTCACTTCACTTATTCCTGGGGTAACGAGTCCGTTTTTGACCGTGAGGTTTCCTGAGAACAGCATGTGCTTGAGGCCACGGTGGTGGCGAGCGGCACCGTCGACAATCAGATCGTCACCAACTTCTCCCACCTCATCTGGAGGACAGTTTCCGAACTCCAGGATGTCCAAATAGTACGGCCCCTGCAAGAAAAAGCATATTGAAGGAAATTCAGGCGTAACGCGGTCCTCTCACTGCCGTGGGATAATCTGCTAGAAAGTGGGAATCATTGAAGGAGCCTCTGGCAAAGATGTTGCCCAACGTGCCTCTGGAAATTCACAAAGATGGTTCTTTGGAAACAATTGAATTTTAATGTAATCATACGATGGATGTGTGGAGATATCCAAAGAATCTACCCACATTTTCGGAAATCATCGTAAATTGCCAAGAATGTTCGAAAGTGTGCCACTGCGACTGCGAGAAATTTTTCCTGGGCATTACAAACAAGTTTTTGCGTAAGCTGCGAGGCTGCCTTTTTCCTCGGTTTTCCAAGTATAACGGAGAGCTTTCTTTGCAGGGATTTACACTCTCATCCTGTACGTGATATTTTATCAATATTTATTGACATTTCTGCGCATAAATGGGATTTCGTTCAACAGATTTGTAAAGACAAAAATGATAATACACTTTAAATCCAATGGTTAGTTTGCATGCCACAAAATTCGCAAGTCCCGACCCCGAAGCTTGATGAGATTATACCTGATGGGACCTTATACCTGATGAAGACTACTCTTTTCAAAATTGTGCACTGAAGGCAGCTAAAGCGCTTAATATTGGTGAGCTAATGAAGATTCGGGGTCGGGACTTGCGAATTTTGTGGCATGCAAACTGAGTAGTCTTCATCAGGTATAAGGTCCCATCAGGTATAATCTCATCAAGCATAATTCTCATCAGATATAACGCATAAATAATTATTGTTGATTTACACGAAATCTCCTCAGGTATAATTCTTAACAGATATAACCGATAATATACAATAAATGCAAGCGTAGCATAAGATATAATTCTCTTCACATATAATTCCCATCAGGCATAATGTCATCAAATATAATTCCCCTCAAATATAATTCCCATCAGGCATAATACACAATTTTGCCAGCTGCAGTATGGATCCTTATTGACAGTACATTTTCCGTCCGTCCTGAGAAACCATCTGGTAGGCAGCTGTTGGTCATTTCAGCCCTCTCCCGAAACATGGTGAGCACACTGTTTGAAGCTGCAAGCCTTCAATACCAATACTTGTACTTCACTTGTTATTCTATGTTAGTGTCGCGATTTACAGTTGCCTACATAGTGAAAAACAACAAGTGTCAGTTCTGATTTCTTTTCTTCTTCCTAACCCTGGTATGTCTCCCTCCTTGGCCAAGGTTCCACTATTGCTTTGCTTTCTGAATGGAGTTGCTGTTGACAGACATAACTTTTGACCCACATAACTGTAAATCCACATAACTGGTGACAGAAATAACGGATATATTTCTGAAATAAAAAGCATTTATTATTTAAATTAAAATTATAATTGCTACAGACATAACATTTTACAGAAATAACCAAATCGCAAGTACATATAACTGTTGACAGACATAACATTTGAAAGGCATAATATTTGATAGACATAACCGTCGACAGACATAACTTTTGACAGACGTAACTTTCGACAGACATATGGGGTGGTCGCGGCAGGGGTGCTGGGAATGTTCCGTCCGCTTCATCGAGTAGTGAAGGAAATGAAGAAGAGCAAGAGCTGCCCGAAGGATTCATGGATGAAGCTGAAATAACAGCACGGCGGACTCAGCAGCACGCGCTTCAACAGGCTGCGAATGCCGATGCAAGGGCAGCTGCTTCCAGTTCGGCAGAGGGGCAAGATGAGCAGTGCCGCCTCTGCTTTGACGGCCCTAGAAACCACGCTGCAGTGCCGTGCGGGCATCGCATCTGCTGCAACACCTGAGCGGGCCGGGCGGACGAGAGCGCCACGTGCCCACTGTGCAGGAAGGAAATTTTGATGATGATTGAAATTTTTGACTGAGTGTAATTGAGTTCTATTTCTTCTATTTCTCCTCTATTTAATTCAATTTTTATATATATTTTTTAATTAAAAGTTTATTTCTGAATAAAGTTATGTGTATTTAAAGTTATGTGTGTTTACAGTTTTTAAACACAATTAATCCTCTTTTATGTCTGACACCAGTTATGTCTGTAGCCAGTTATGTCTGTCAACAATTATGTGGATAAACGGTTATGTGGATCTAAAGTTATGTCTGAAGCAGAACTCCCTCTGAATGCACCCACCTGGCAAGGTGTCACTTTTGCCCACAGTATATCGCTCCTCAGAGCTGAATTTAATGTAAAATATGAAATAAATTAAAAAATAAAAGTTATGCCTGATGGGAATTATACTTCATGCAAATTATGCCTGATGAAACTAGTTGAGAATTATGCGTGTTGCCAATTATACCTAAAGAACATTGTACCTGATGAGATTATACCTGACGGGACCTTATACCTGTTGAAGTTCCCCCTTTTGAAAAGGCTTGCATTTTTGGTATTCAAAACGCCTTGCCGTCTTTGAGGCAAGCAAATTTCTTGCCAATGGTTGTTTGCCAAATAAAAATGATTTACGCTTATTTATAATGGGTACAATCCTACTATGTTAGTAAACAAAAAAACAGCACGAGTTTAAGAGTGTAGGTGTGCATTACCGCGACATTGTTGGAGCTGGAAACCAGCGTTAGCGAGGAAAACAGCATCACAACGGTCCAAGTCATCATGGCTTTTCGGCAGCGTAAATTTCCACCTATGAGGAGTATTACGGTGCAAAGCAAAATAACAAGCAGAGAAAGTGACTAACGGTTGCAGCTTTGGTCTATCCTCCTCGGAGTATTTTGTTCTTGGCGCGTTCTACATGCCTTACAATGAAATCTGAGCTATGTAACAGTGAACTCGGCGGCACCAGCATAGTACGAAGCAATATTTCTTCGTAATGCAAATCTTCTCAGATTGGCCTGGAAACCTCAAAAACTCATTAAGGGTGTTCCCCTGACCCACCCTGCCAAAGGGTTTGACTGGGAAAAAATTTGCCTAATTTTAATGCGATTTCTTGTTTTTAATCTTCCGCTAAATTCTAATGATTTTTTTTTCCAGAATTTCCCCAGAGTGAACCGTTACTCGTATTGACTCCCCGTAAAGTTTCTTGTGGTCGACTAGTGATACAGAAAAAAGGAAAAAATTGCCGGCAGGTGGTCATGAAAAATACTCATAACTTGTTAAGAAAAACTGCTAAAAATTAGTGAAAAATTGAGATTGGCAAAATACATTGTATTAGTATGGTGATGATATGTGGTGAAAAAGTACCTCTTTAGTAGTCGATCAACCCTGAAAAGGTCCCATGTCCAGCCCGGAGCACCTTACTGATCGGGGCCTGAAATATATTTCTAATGACTCGTAAAGTTCAAAGAATGGTATCGTAACCAGCCATATCATTGAGAAAGCCATTTTTCAGTGTGCAGCATGAATCACTTTCACTTCAAAATGATGTTTTGGTATCAAGGCAACAGTATTTAGGGCAAGCCTCACCCTAAATACTGTTGCCTTGATACCAACTCATCATTTCGAAGTGAAAGTGATTCATCCGGGCTGAGACCAACGGGGCTCAAATGGGACGGGGCTTACGTCCTGTATGCCGCGATGCCGGACAAAGCCGTCGCTGCACTGATTTCCGCTCAGCCATACAGCCTGCCCCTTATCAGTCAAAGCTAGCGTGATAGATATCATGCCGTTCGTTTGGGATATATAAAATAAAGAATTCGCTCTTCTTTGGCGCGACAGTGAAATCATGCCAGTTTTGTTTTCATTGTCAAGCCCAGTGGTGGTCGGTCACAATGGTTCGGACGAGAGTCGAAATCGTGTCATGCTGCATGCAAACAAATAGATAGCGATTCGAAACGCGAAAGAATGTCAAGTCAGATTCCTGGAACTGACAACACTCATATTCCAGGAACGTCGCATCACGTGTGACAAAATGTCACGTTCATTTGAGTATTGTGTCACGTTCGTTTCAACGTGAATAAGCTGATTTAATGCTGATTCACGTCCAAACAAACGTGACAAAATGCTCAAAGGAACGTGACATTTTGTCACGATCATTTCAACCAGGGGGTGGCAACGGCCTAGGGAGAGCGTGAAACGATGCTCGCGCCGTCAGTACAGAGGTTGCACACTTGTTGGAGATTATGAAAACTAGACTGTGTTTTTCAAAACGCTTTGCACCGATGGAAAGGGCTTGAAATTTAGAGTGCATTGGGCTAATTGCTCTTCACGAAACTCCCCCGTTACCTAATATTAAGGGGGGACCCTGGTGAAACTTTCAAGTAGGCTTCAAAATAATCCCAGGAAGTTGAAACTTTGCTTAATTATTAGGTTCATTATGGTGAGTTCCCAAAACAAAATTCAATCCAAAATGTTGAACGGTCTCTGAGAAAAGTGGCTTTTTAGTGTTTTTTGGAGCGTTGGGGAAAAATCTTCCTGCGTCTTCCATTGGGACGGAAAGTCTTCAAAATTTTTTTGGGTTATCCTAAAGATGTATAGAAGAGATTTTAGTGACGGAATTTTCAAATTCAACTTCTGTCCTGAGTTTTCAAATTTTAACATTTAAAAAAAAGTGATTTTTATCCCTTTTTTTCAAACTTTTAGGTGTGTTTTAAAAAAAGGAGGGCTGATATCAAGATTCCGTCACTAAAATTTGTCGACAAGTCATCAATGAATAGAGTCCATGCAAGACGACTCATGTAGGTGTCAACCAGGAACACAGGAAGTCTTTCTACGACAATTTTTTTTGTCGACTGAGCAAAGCTGTGAAGTTGAGCGTAGAAGCCAACGACAACTGATCTCAATGCTATTTCCTTCCAAATAATTAAGAAACTACCCACTTAGCTTAATGGTGTTCAACCTGTTGAATCTGAAACCTTCTATGCACATTTTTATCTATAAACTTTAAAAATTCTATTTTTGGAATTTTGGCGATTTTTTTACCAGGGTCCCCCCTTAAGGTGCAGCAAAAACACCGAAAAAACACGAGAAATCATAAAATTCAGGAAAAACTCGTATGCGCCTTGTTGATGTCAATGATTCCGCCCTTGTGTTCGGTTGAATTGGAAGTACCGGGTGGTCTACTACACTCTCATTCCAGGAACGTGACATTGAAAGTGTCACGTTCGTTTGAGCATTGTGTCACGTTCGTTTGAATGTGAACGAGCTGATTTTCGGCCAATTCACACCCAAACGAATGTGACACAATGCTCAAACGGACGTGACAGTTACAATTTGATGTCCCTGCCCCTTTGTGACGAAACGGTTCGTCCTAGAAAGACGCGGTTTGCGCGATGAGATGGTGTTCTTTGTGCTTCAAAAGTATCCACTATTGGGTTTGAAAGTTTCTGAGGTTTTCAGATGGCTGTGGCCTCCGGAAGGTGCAAAATGTAAACTCCGTAGCTGTCCGGATGCGTAGTTCACTAAGTTTGCGCCTCTCCCATGTCTGAACGAGACACAGGACAATCGTTCTCGACGGCTCTATTTGCTAAGGCACTTTCATACTTAAACCGAATCTCGCGTTTAGAACTTTTCGGTTTTTGCTTTTTTTCGACTCTTTGAGCCTTTGTACAACCAAACCTGACCATATTTCGACCCACAGCACCGTCAAATCTTGCGTGCAAGGATTAAAACCCAAATATGGGGCAAATCTAAAATGTTCGCGAAAATTCAAAAAGTGCCACCAGACGCGCAACCTAAGATGGTAAAACGGCAAAAAGGCATGGAGAGTCCATTTTCATGTCAGGGAGACCAATATGTAAGAAAAGACGGCTGAATAAACATGAAAACATTCGAAATTTCACTTTACGCCCCCTTAATTTGCCGAGCTAAATCGCAAGTATACAGCAGAGGTGCTACACTTTGTCCTTCCCCCTGAGCCTGTTTCAAATTTTGCATTTTTTTAGAAATTACTTTGAGTATGATTGCAGCCTCGAAAACCAAAGCCACCGACAAGCAGTGGTTGGTTTTACTGGACCTTGTGAAAGATGACAAGGAAATGCTGATAGGTGAATTCACTGCGCCCCATGGGGTTATCTGAGTTCCGCAGAAGTGGAACGATGCAGCGTTACAGCTGAATGCCCTGGAACCCTTGCCAGATGGTGTGGTGGCCAAGAGTGGCGAACAGTGAAAAATCCTGTGTATTGTTTTTTTCTCATTATCAATCACTCAGTAATGGTGGTCACACTTTAATAACTTTGGTTTGATTGTTTGGTTCTAATTGCAGGCTTTTGCATCATTAAAGAGCAGGGCAAAAGAAGCCTATGCCACCAAGGCATGGTACATGAGAGGCACTGGAGGAGGACCGGCTCCCCGGAGGCTGCTGGCTTGGGATTGAGGGACACATACATACGTGAAAGTGTTGGGCATAAAATGTAACATTTTGTGTATTCTTCTGTCTCTTTGTTAGTTGCAGTTAAACGCTCGGCGGGCAGCTCCACCCAACCATGTTCAGGTAATCCCAGACTCATATGTGCAGATGCATTTGAATGAACAAAGCATGTGGTAAACATTATTGTGTTGACTTCATTGCAGGTGGCAGGAGTGGCCCAAACTCCTGCTCGTGTCAGGGATCCAATCGATGCAGCCATACTGGGCCTGGCCCGGCGGGCTCCTGCCCATGGAAGGAATACGGCTACTCAGCCGGCTCCTGCTGCAGGCTTGGTATGGAAATGCATGTGAAATAGGGTACTTCGAAGAAAACCCCGACCATAAGTCAGCAACAGAACGGGAGAAACAAAAGAGCGTCGGGGGGCCGTGCTGAGCGGTGGTGGGGGTCGAAATCGGCGGGGTGGGGGCAGCATGCGCGCGCCGCCTTCACCCCCACCACAGCTCAGCACGGCCGCGCGACGCTCTTTTGTTTTTCCCGTTCTGTCGCTGACTTCCGGTCAGGGTTTTCTCCGAAGTACCCTTGTGGTTATCCCTCACCTTAATATGAACGGTAACATGTAACTCATTTTCCAGGACGAGGAGCTACCCATTAGCCCTGTGTCTCCAGCATGTGTTCTTGCATAAATGTTTTTTGAAATGTGGTGTTGCTCCTTTCTGTCAGAGTTGTATTTCTAACAACGTCTTTTCTTAATAAGGGAGAGTGGGTTAATTCCGGACGCTTTTTTTCTTTTTTTAGCTTGAATATGCTTTGTGGGTCAAATGTTATTACAGGAGCATATAATATCATAAAATTTTAGTCATGGGACTTAACTTATCGTTCAGGTACGATAAGTACATGGAAAGACGAGGTAGAGATGGAACTTTTGCCTATTTTTGATAGTACTCAAATTTCGTGAAGCGACCGCAGCTTGACCTACTTTCAAGGCAAATGTTCTCATCTGTCAAGAGCTAGGAAGAAGTTAGTGATACAAGTACCAGGCCAGACTAGAATCCCAGCTTTCTATCCACTACTTGATGCTATAGAAGCAATTTTGAAAAGAGATGAAGCTGAAATTAAAGCTCTGAAGCTTCGAATTGAAGAAATGAAACTAGATTGCCCAATAAACATTTCACACTTTTTGAAAATTTTAATACCAACTGCTCAGGAAAACTCACTGGCCTCACTTTAAACGGTTTACAGTTTATTTATTCCTGTAAATGGAAATAAATGTTCATGCGCTGGGGAAGTTGATAATGCACTTCCGGGACAATAATCTTGAGGAAAAATTCCTTCTCAAACTCTTTTCAAGTCAAGTTTATGAATTATTTTTCCGACTTGTGAGGTCTCTAACCACAGCTATGTCTGATGTTGTCATTTTCACCTTACTTGAAGTCCTACATAAAGTCAAGAGTGGATATCCTCTTGTGTGTGAGAGAAGAGCTTTAAAAACTTGGCTATATAAAACCCAGAGAAAAAGAAAGAAATTACAGCTATTAACATTACCAGGATTTGACCTGCCATCGACCGCCCTGTCACCATCTACGGCTATTACCATTGTTCCATAATCGTTGGTGAAAAAGGCGACATCGAGTGGGAGCTGACCCGCGTACTCGCTGCTCAGGGTGACTTTATTGCTCCTCAACCTTGGCGATGTGTATTCTTCTACTCTAACCCCGTGTCATCAGCCGTTTGTCCTGCGTGTGGAAGACAGGGCGACTTGGCACAGCAGGACGGCACTTGTCCTCTGCCCTTTCTCGACTTCCTGTGTCCCCAAATGGATCGTCGCCCTCCTATGCTTATTATGAAGCTAGTCTGATGGATATCCTGGCTTCTCAAAAGTGCTTGATATCCCTTTGTTTATCTTGCGTGCGTCCATTTCAAACACTTCCTTAAAGGGGGCAGTAGCACCAAGGACAATTTTTTGGCCAAATTTTGAGTAAGTTCCTACTGTTACAGAGGCCTTTCTGTTCATCGTGAGAAAAACCAACTTATTATCAATGAAGAGAGGGCTCAAGGATGATTTTGAAAACGAAGTGGTTGATCTACTGTCATTTTAGTGACGTGTGCGCAGGGCACAAGACAACACCACATATTTGCCACTACTCAGTCCCCGCTAGAAGTTTTTCATCCAAAATTTGTCCATTTGTTTTACATACTTGAGCAGTAAAATAACCCTCTAGCTTTGAGAAAAAACATCGGAAAGTATTTTATGACTAAACTTTTATGAAACGTTAATAATCATGTTA